AAAATAGTGAAGGGGAATTTTGGAGTAGTATTTTGGTGAATTGATCTTAAGGGTGTTGTGAGAGCAGAAGGTTTCCATTGAAGTGCTAGGCCTAAACTGGCTTTTTCGGTTGAGATTAGAGGAAGAACGTCGATCCCTCACCATCAGATAGTGGTGACTTGGTGTGGGGTGTAATAAGCCCGGTTGAAGTACTCTCCGGCAATCTCCATTTTTATTTTTGCAGCTTCATCTTTATATTCTCAAGCATAAGAAATTGTTATTTTTGTTGTAAGTGATCTTTTGCCAAAATAAAAGAGGTATATTTAATAATATTAAAAAATATATATTATTCCCTGGTAAAATATCACATTGGTCGCTTTTTCCTTGGTATCAAAGCAAGGTTATTAGAAGTCTTTTCTCTTTTATTGAGCCTAGATTTTTTGCTTGAGAATAAAAGATATGGCTGCACGTACCTTCATCTCTGAGATCCTAAAAATCGAAAGGTTTGATGAGACCAATTATACTTCTTGGAGAATAAAGATTCAATGTGTTCTTTATGAGGAAAACTTGCATGAGATACTATACGAGCGTCGTCCTCATCATCCAAGTGACGACTCATCTCAAGCAATCAAAGATGAGTATGCCACTTGGAAGAGGAGGAATATGAGATGTAAGAACATACTTTTGTGTGCCATGACTGACTCGTATGCTTCTGAGTATGAGTCAACTTCTACTGCAAGTGGATCTTTGATAGACCTGGGAGAGAGTATGATGATCCCTATCTCATGAAGCAAGCAATGATTATGAAAAAGTATAACGAGTTAAAGATGGCAGAGGGTACTAAGTTCGCAGATCATGTGCACATCTTTCGTGCACTAGGCAGAGAGATGGAAGACAGCAGCATGAAACCATCTGAACCTATGCAAGTGATTCATCTCATGAATTCGCTTCCTAACTCATGGGAAACGTTTGCGTCCTCCCTCTCGGTTAGAATAAAGGCACCAAGGTTGGAGGAGCTCATCACGACCATCAAATGAGAAGAAGAAAGGAGGAACTCAAAGCACGCATTGACTACAACTCCAAGAGAAGCTGTACATATAGTAAAATCTACTCCCTCTTTTAAACCTAAGAAAGCAAAGGGTAGAACTAATTTTGGAAAGAGGAGACTTCAAAATGAGAGATTTTCGAAATAAAGGAGAAAAGAGAGAGACCAGGACTTGCTTTATTTACAAGAAGTTAGGCCACATGGCCAAGAATCGTCAGTCCAACAAATTCGGTGGGACCTACAAGGAAATGGCTTGTGTGGTCTTTGAGACGTTGTTAGCTGACCCCGAGGGAACCTCTTGGTGTCTTGACTCAGGAGCCACGATTCATGTCACAAACTCTAAAGAAGGCTTCCGCTCTTTTACTCCCATGAGGCCGGCAGAGCAACATATCTATATGGGAGGAAACCAGAAGATCGATGTACTTAGAGTTGGAGATTTCGAGCTGAAGTTGAAGAGTGACAGCATCTTGGTCTTACAGCAAGCACTTTATGCTCCTGATATGAGGAAGTACTTGATTTCGATTCCCAAGATGTCTATCGCTGGATTCATGACCACTTTCATTGGGAAGAAAGTGGTGGTCAAGAAGGGGAATAATATTGTCATGACTGTACATCTTGTAGATGGCTTATTTTCTATTGAAATAAAAGAGAATGTTGCTTATGTCTCGTCCCCTAATGAATTAGATGCCACCCTATGACATATGAGGTTAGGACACATTAATTTAAAAAAGAATGGAAATATTGAAAAAGGACGGCATTCTTCAAAATTATAAGGGCAATTTATCGAAAGTATGTGAGTCTTGTGTGCAAGAAAAACCAATAAGGAAAAATACCACTGGAGCAAAAAGAGCTACTAGCTTTTTAGAAATCATTCATAGTAACATATGTGGACCTATGAATGTGGCTACCAAAAGCGGCAAGAAATATTTCATCACCTTTATAGATGACCACTCGCGTTATGGCCATGTATATCTTATCCACGCCAAGTCTGAAGCCTTAGAGAAATTCAAAGTATACAAAGCCGAGGTAGAAAATCAAACCAACCTAAATCAAAGTCCTTAGAACCGATAGAGGGGGGAATATTCGTCTGAACCTTTTAAAGAACTCTATGTTGAGAACGGAATTATACACCAGTACACCATGCCCTACACTCTCAAACAAAATGTTGTCCTCGAGAGACATAATAGGACCTTAGTTGAAGTGGTAAGGAGTATGATGAGACATGTTAGTCCTTCCCTAGACTTTTGAGGAGAAGCGGTGTTGACGGCATGCTATATCTTTAATCGGACTCTCACAAAAGCTGTCCCACTTACTCCTCACGAGATTTTCACAAGTCGTGCTCCCTCCCTTGATCATTTGCAAGTTTGGGGCTGTTCAGCCCATGTCCTCATTCCTCACCAAAATAAGACCAAACTTCAATCCAAAACTATTAAAACCATTTTTATTGGCTACCCAAATCATGGTAAGGAGTATCGATTCTACAGCCTTGAAACATGAGCGGTCATCGAGAGCCTCGATGCTCACTTCTTCGAGGAAGAATTTCTTGAAGCAAGATTGAGTCGAAAACAAGCCGCGACTTCTTTGAGGAGGCAAGAGACAAGGCTGTGCTTCGAGAACCCGAACCTGAAACTTCCAATAGACCTGAGCCTGAACTCGAACCCTCAAGACAAAGTGAACTTAAACACGAACTGAGAACCTAAACCCGAACCGAGACGCAGTAATTAAATAAGTAGACCTCCTTTATATTTTGAACAATTTGCCTACCTGAGGGAAAAATTTTGATTGAGTTGGAGAAGATCCAGATTCTGAACTTAGAACTTACCATAAAGCCTTGTCATGTCCTGAAAAAGAATATTGGGTAGAAACCATGAAAGATGAATACACTTCCATTAACGAAAACCATGTATAGGAATTAGTGCCTCTGCCTCGAAAATGTAAGGCCATTGGTTGCAAGTGGATTTTCAAGAAAAAGTTGAACTTAGAAGGGAAAATAAAAAAATACAACGCTAGGCTGGTTGCAAATGGTTTTACCCAAAAAGAAGGGATAGATTATGAAGAAATCTTTTCTCTTGTTGCCAAATTCCTATCTATCCAAATCCTTGTAACCATAGCCGCCCATTTTGATTTTGAGGTTCATTAAATGGATATCAAAACAACTTTTTTGAATGGTGACTTAGAAAAAGAGATTTACATAACCCAACGTGAGGGATTTGTAGAAAAAGGAAAGGAGAACCTTGTGAGTAAACTTAGCTAAACCCTTTATGGTCTAAAACAAGCATCACGACAGTGGTACATAAAATTTCAAGAGACCCTTGCTCTTGCAAGGTTCTCTACAAATAATGAGGACTACTGTATCTATCAAAAGGTCAGTGGGAGGGATGTGGTTTTTATTTTCTTCTATGTGGATAATATGCTAATTGTTAGTAGTTCGATTGCCTTGGTAGTAGAGACAAAAAAGTTTTCTTGTACAACACTTCGAAATGAAGGATCTTGGAGAAACGTCATATGTATTGGGCATCAAGATAATAAGAAACAAAAAAAAGAAGACTATCCAACTTTCCTAGGCAACCTACTCCAAGAGGATATTGGAAAAGTTTGATATGGATAAATGTAAGCATATGTTTACTCCAATAGACAAAAAGACGAAGCTCAGTAATAAAATGTGTCCAACTGAAGATATTGACAAAAAATCCATGGAGAGAGTGCTTTATAGGAACGTAGTTGGGTCCCTTATGTACGCCATGATGGGAACAAGGCGTGACCTGTCTTTTGTCATTTGCTTGGTTAGTCGTTACCAAAGCAATCTTGGAGAGGAGCATTTGAAAGCGGTCAAGAGAATCTTTGAATACTTAAAAGGGACAATGAACTACGTGCTCACATATAAAAGGGGAACTGAAATAGTAAGAGAAGGATATTAAGACGCCAGCTATATCGTGGATCCAGATAATGCGAAGTCTACATCTGGATATGTGTTTATGTTTGGAGGGGGTGCAGTAAATCATGGATTGAGGTGGCATCCAAAGGTGCCCTCAACAAAGTTTATCTTGATGCAAGTCATCGTCATCATCATAGCCTTTTTCTAACCATTTGGGGTGGCTATGCAAATCTTGGTTCGCCATTCTACTCCATCAAGGTTCATACTCTCAGTGAGCCCATAAGTCTATATATATTTTCTCACTACTTCCAACTATGTTCTTTTGGCCCTACCCTTAACCCTTTGTGAACCAACTTGCACCTCCTAACAGGTGCCGTACTGGGTGTACACTGCAATGGCCAGCCCGCCTAAGTCTACTTGAACTTGATGTAAGTCCTTGGGCAAAAGGATGTTTACATATTTCGGATGACATCTCCAGAAGGGCCTGTTGGTGCTCTATCAAGGGGCCATACTTTCAGTGACACCATAAATCCCTATATATTTTTTCACTACTTCCAACATTGTTCTTTTGGTCCTACTTTTTATCCTTTATGGGCCTTCCACTTGAACCAACTCGCATCTTCTAGTAAGTGCTGTAATGAGTATACATTACAATGGCCAGCCCACCTAAGTCTACTTGAACTTGATGCAAGTCTTTGGGCAAAAGGAAGTTTACAGATTTGGGATGGCATCTCCATAAGGGTTTTTCTGTAGCTCATAAAGGGTATTAGTTAGCTATAGTGGAGATGTTACAGCGAGAGAACAGTTGTGATGTTGTTCCTTTGAGAATTGTGGTACTCTTTGATATAATTTAAACCATTACCTACTATTAAGAGAAGCTTGTCAAAGGAAGACGAAGAAAGACATTTAATACGTTTCTCTAAGGACTCTAATGCAGTATTATCAGTACTATTTTTGTAAATTCCCTTTTGCATATGATAAGACTTAGAATTTTGCATGAAGATCTAATTTCAATATAGGTTTTATCAGTGTTTAATCCATGGTGTTTTACATTTTCTGAGATTTCTGAACTGTAAATTGATGGTTTTGATATCTTTCAAGGAAATGAATTTGCAGTTAATCTCAAGTGGTGGAAGGATCTGTAGCTTTTTACAAGTCTTGTTTAGCTCTCGGGAGAGTGAAGCCAAGCTCCAACCATGTGACTCAACTGGGGCAACTTGTATACAACCAGTCTTTGTTTTTTGTAGACTCTCTCTCTCTCTCTTTCAACCAGTCATTGTATTTTGTAGACTCTCTCTCTTTCAACAAGTCTTTGTATTTTTTAGACTCTCTCTCTCTCTCTCTCTCTCTCTCTTTCAACCAGTCTTTGTATTTTGTAGACTCTCTCTCTCTGTGTGGTGCAGATTGAGCAAAAGGGCATTGACTCAATGTGCCCCTGGTGGAGCTTGTAAAAGTCTGCATGTGCATGTAATTTCTCTTTGATCACACCTCCCTTTTCATTCTGACCATGCCTATAAGAATATGTCTTTACTTCATCTCTCGCCCATAAGAAGAAACCACATCTTTTTGTGTTTGCTTGCTTCGAGAGGAAACCTCAGCCCGTCTCTCTCTCTAGATTTTGTCTTTAGTCCATCTCTCACCCATGCAGAAGAAACCACATCTGTGTTTACCTGCTTAGAAAGGAAACCTCACCCTCTCTCTCTCTCTATCTCTCGCTCTCTAGAATTTGTCTATAGTCGATCTCTTTCCCGTAAGAAGAAACCACGTCTTCGTGTGTTTGCTTGCTTCGAGAGGAAACCTTACCCTCTCTCTCTTTCTCCACATCGGTGTTTTACCCTCTCTCTCTTTCTCCACATCTGTGTGTTTTACCCTCTCTTTCTCTATATGGAGTGCTGGAATAGAAAAGGGCAATTCACTGAAGCCACGACTGAGCTCTTGCCTTATTATAGCATTGGGGCATAGCTTGCATGTGCCTCTTATTTCATGTCCCATCTCCATTTTCCAGCGAACTTCTTCAAGCTGGACTTATGTCAACTGAGAAAACAATCTTTAGGGCGTTTTTGATTGGTGGAAAAAGCGGAAAACATTGGAAATTGTAAGTTTTTTCATTAAAAGTTTGTATAGTCGATCTTAATTAGTTGTAAAAAAAAAAGGATTGGCAATGATAATAATGTGGTTTTGAGAGCCGCTGATAAAATGATTCGTCAAGTCGTATGATAGCTGACTCAGTTTCAAAAAAAGAAAGAAAAGGAAGCGACAGTTTAAGAAGGCAAGTGTATGGATTTGGAAAACAATTTAATTTGAATAACTTAAATTAAATTTATAAACTATAAAAAAAAAAAAAAAGATATAAGACGAAAGAACTTGACTTCCATATTTTGTACAAGTAAGTAAAAAAAGTAATATCCCTCGACGGAAAAATTAAAGTCCTAGGCTAAGCCTTTTAGCTTGTTGTTGGGGCCTAAGCATACTAGAAAGCCTCGTTTGTCTACGTCACAATAGAAAGGAAATGCTTGCAATATATTAGGGCAGTTTGAGTATCTAAAAACGACAATAAATATGGTATTTTCATTGTTTTGGTACATTTAATAGTAAGAAAATGAAAAGGGATTGTGCAATATTTTTCAAAAAATCAAAAAATTCATTACGCGGGCAGTTTGGGTACTTGGAAATCTATTACGTGATAATAGATTATAACGAAATATAGTATTTTCATTGTTTGGGTATTAATAGTATGGAAATAGAAATGGATTATATAATATTTTTCAAAAAATCAGGAAATCCTTTATGCGGGTGAAAATTTTATTACGGGAGTCGCATGTAATTTTGAAAAATCTTTTATTTTTTTTTATTTTGATTAAAAAAATATTATTTTTCTATCCTAATTAATAAAATATTATCTGATAAGCCTTCTCTAATCATACTAACTAGCTCTTTTCATACTAATTAGCATGATGATCCCTCCTTTTTTAAGCTCGTCCTTCGTTTTTAAATTCGTCTTCTAATTTGAAAGTATCAGTTGTCATATAAAAACAAAAATAATAAAAATAAAATAAAAATTAATAATCAATGATAAATTACACAGCATAATCATAATAAACAATTTCACACAATATAATCCCTATTTGAAGGCAATTGAAATAACATATTCTTTAGTCTTTTCCAATACTTCAAAATTTTATGCTACAATTATCAAACCTTCTAGCATAACTAATCAAACTTTTTCTCATTTTTTAACTCTTACTATAAAGATTTTGAATTTAGTATCATATATTTATTGTTTATTTGAAATTATATAGAGAGGCATTTGAAAGACTTCTATAAAAAATAAATAAAAATAAGGTTTATCATAATAAAATCATGTTATGCCAATCATATTGTTCTAATGACTTATCATGTTGAAACCAATGTCATGTTAGAAAACATGTGATTCCATGTAAGTGTCAAACGCATGTAAAATAAGTAGTAAATGGTGTCATGATTACTGTACAATGGTAAAAGTTATTATTAGAAATTTTTTTTGGAATGGTGATGATGTTATTATTAGAAATCTTTTTAGAATGGTGTGATGATGATTTTAATTTCGTATTTTAGTGAAATTTTGTGACAAAAAATAAATAAATGATAATTATGCATTTTAGTGGAATTTTGTGATAAAAAAGAAAGAAATGATAATTTATAGGCATGTGCTAGTAAAATGTTGGTAATGTATTTCCTATATTTCTTCCAGACATAGCCAAACAATAACAATGTATTTCCCAGGTTGCATTTAAATACTACCCAAACAGTAACAATCCATTTACCGATAATGTATTACGCCAGTACTATATTTCACAGACAATATATTTCCAGGTATCCAAACAGCCCCTTGGAGTAAATGATTGGAAACAACTACCTAATTGTTTCTTTATTTTTTGGAAAATTGTTTCATGCATGCTAAACTGCATTTTGTACAATATTCAGTCCCAAGGTATAAAGCATATCCATTTTAAAGATGGATGCAAATAGGTGGTCCATTTAAAAACAATTGAAAAATAGGTGGTCCATTTAAAAATAATTGAAATTAAATGTCCAAATGTTTTATTCATAAAATCATTATTTTTATTTTTTAAAATCTTTTTATTTTTTTTATATTCATGATCTCCATGTTAGAGATTATGGCTATAAAAATTGGGTCCGAAAATCAATCTCAAAAATAGATTTTCACAAGTTGACTCATTTCTACATGGGAATTTACCGCCTTTGCTTTTCTTAGTTTAATTTTTTGGTGTGAATTAGTGTTTTAAAATTTAGGATTGGGAACTGACTTGGCATGTGTCTAATTGTGATTCGCCATTTACAATCTCGTGGATCCCAAAGTTGGATCAAGCCAGTGTTTTGAAACTGGACAATTTTTTATCGGAATTGCCTATCTGAAATCCCAAATGAAAATTGGTCGGGACGTAAAAAAACATGAATGGAAGTAGTGAGAAGAGTAGGGATGAAAAATGGGTCGAGTCAACTTGATTAGGTTTGGACTTGGGCCTATAGACTATGGACCTGGTGGGACGGGTCTAGATCCTCTTGGCCTTGATTCGATCAAGTCTATGGGTCTAGCTTGGATTCTATTGGGTTAGGTTAGGTCTGGGTTGAGGCCAATCTAACCCTAACCCGCATATATTGATATCAATTATATAGAATTATACTAGTTGTGTAGTAGAGTAATACTGGTTGTGTAGTAAAAAATATATACTATGTTTTTTTACTTATTTCATATTTAGAGACTCGGACGTGACTTGGCTGAATGGGTCAGATTTGGGTCCATTTATTTTGGGCCGAACAAGGTTTGGGTCGGAACCTAGTCTAATTTATACCTATTTGGGTCGGGGTTAACTTTGATCCGACTCAACCCATCCCTCCCCCCCCATCCCCGACCCCCGCCCCCCTAAAAAAAAAGAGATGTGGTGACTTACAGTTTGACTAAGAGTGTGGCTCTTGATAAAATGGAATAGCAGAACATGATTCATATAGACAAACACCAAATAGTTAGGATAAAGCTTGGATAATGATGATGATTTCTACCTTGTAAATCCCTATTTTAGATTTTTATTTTACTATATTATATTTTTATTCATTTCTCATATTTTTTTGAATCACCAATTTACATGGATCTAGATCCGATCTAAGCTAATCCGGCCATCTAACATGGATCCACCCCATTGATCAAGGTTTTGAGAAACTGGATCAAGTTAGGGGTCGTTTGGATACCAGGAAATCTATTACATGAAAATAAATTACAAAGAAACGTGTGGGGAGAGGTGAAAAATCTATTACCCGCTTAACGGGTAATATATCGATTACGTATGGGGAGAGGTGAAAATCTATTACCTGTTTGACGGGTAATATGTCGATTACATGTGGGGAGAGATGAAAAATCTATTACCCGCTTTGACGGGCAATATGTTAAGTGTTTGATGCGTCTCTCTCTCTCAAAACTCACGAAACCCATTCCCCTCTCTCTCTCTCCTCTACCCAAGCCCCTCTTCTCTCTCTTCCTCTGCAACCACAAGTTCGCTCACGAAACCCATTCCCCTCGCTCTCTTTCGACTCTACCCAAGCCGCCTCTTCTCTTTTCCTTTCCAACCCCAAATTCTTCCCACCCAGTCCCGCACTCACTCTCTACCCCTTTCAAGCCCTTGAATCTCAGGTATGCTCTCGTTAATCTTCATACTTCTCTCTACCCAGCCTTCTTTTGGGTATCATTCTACGGACATTCTAGACTCTCAATTTCCTTTATCAGGGTTTCAGATATTGCTTGCAATTACGAATGCATGAAGCAATTGTGAATGGATTTGTGATGAAATTGCGTCTTTTTAATGAATCGAGTTGTTTCGTATCCATTTCGTGAGCTTTTTTTTGACATTTTGCTTTTTAGGAATCGATCTATTTGCTTTTTTTTTTATTTAGGAATCGACCTGTTTGGTATCATATTTCTGTTTTTCCAGAGATTTTTTTTTTGATTTATTGGGATGTTGAATGCACTTATTATCTACGTTGATGTTTTTTTCTTGATTTTTGTTGATTATTTAAACTCATGAGCTATGTACCATGATGTCTTTCCTTCGTTTTCTTTTCTCTGATCTGAATAGAGATTGATCAATATAGTGTAAGATACTCAGATTTTTTGTTATTATTTGTTCAATGCATATAATGAAAATAATTTTTGTCACTCATGTTGATTTTTTTTTGTGTTTATTGTGATATCTTTTTTTGTTTATTGTGATTATTGGTAATGCATTTCCCATATTTTTTTCAGACAGCCAAACAGTAGTAATATATTTCTCAAGTTACATCAAAATACTACCCAAACAGTGTCAATCCATTTGCAGGTAATGTATTACGTCAGTAATATATTTCACAGACAATATATTTCCAAGTATCCAAACAGCCCATAAAAATAACCACAAGGGGGAAATTTGGACGATATCCGGATTCCTAAAATTGGAGTCCCCCACCTATGGTT